TATTCAGTTGATATTGGTGCCCAGTTTATATAAACAACTCTGAGCGGTGAACACTATTTAAAAATATTAATATAAAATTCAAAATAAGAATATGCGACAAGAATAAAATGAAAAAAAAATGGCAGCCACCTTTGATCACAGTTTTTATTGGCAATAATATTTAAATGGCAATTTAGATATGTTCGCTGTCATACAATAGGTTTCCTATTAAATATTAAAATCCCCATTATGTTTCTTCCCTTTCCTTCCCCTCTCGGCTTCAATCTACTATAGGTTTTAGCTCTGCTTGTGAAGGGCTATTTTATCCTTGCTCAAGGCTGTTTATTAGAACTTGGCGAAGTGGCTTGTAAATGCATGGAGGAAGCAGATCCATCACTTCAGCTCCATGGGGCAAAAGGAAGTACTAATATCCATTTAATGCAGATGTGTTCATCCCTCAGCCCATGGACCGCTAATGTGGCCTCACAAGAACATACAAATATTTAAAAATTTAAAAATAAAGATATACATTATACATGCATATCCACAAACTATACTATATTTGTTATCTATTTATATACGTTATCTATTTAAATGCAGTGCATTAACTAAATTATATATTTCATATGCGGCCCAAGACAATTCCTCTTCATATTTTTTGTTTTATACGGGTTCATTTTATGGAGAATGATATTTAGCTTATAGAAATATTGATTCCTTGTTGATAAAAATATTTCTTATAGGAAATCCCTAAAGGAACATAACTTTATATGATTTAAAAAATAACAACAACCTAGTGGTGCCATTGTGTTAAATTATTGATTCAAAATTAATAAGGAGAGTAACATTAAGCTATAGTCACTACATAAACCACACCTGAATAACTTAATACAGATTAAACAATATTGTGATTTATTGCAATATTAGTTCTGGTCCAATACAGATAGTTCTCGAGTTACGACCATTATTGGGAGAAGAATTTCTATTGCTAAATAAGGTGTCTGTTAAGTGAATCATGCCTGATTTTAACTAATTAATTTTGTTATGCTTTTGAAACTCTAAACGGATGCTAGACGAATGTTGTAAGTTGAGGACTACCTGCCTAACCATCCCCCTATGGCAGCGTTGGCGAACGTTTTTGGCACCGAGTGATGAAACGGGAGTGCACGCGCACACGCGGGGAAGCACCAGAAACCAGAAGAGCAGCTCCCCAATGCGCATGCGCGCTCTGGGAAGTTGAGTTTCCAGTTTCCGGCGTGCACATGTGTGCTGGTCATCTGGTTTCTGGCACGCATGCGCGAAGGCCAGCTGGCCGATGCGCATGTGCGTGCCGGAACCTGGAAGAGCAACGGACAATGGCTGGTGTGACCACAGAGATGGCTATGCGTGCCACTTCCAGCATGCATGCCATAGATCCGGCATCAATGCCCTATGGTATCTTGCTTTGCAAATCCATAATATTCCTTTCTCTTTCCTGTTTCTGGCAGCTTCTGGATGAACTTGGAGTGGGTATAATACAACAGTACAAGCCAGACCTAGTTGCAGATGAGCGGGTACCCATTGATGTGGTATGTCTCCCAATATTGTGGTATTATATTTTCTGTACCCCATTTGCATTTTCTTTATTACTTATTTATTGTATGGTACATTCCCATCACTTTTCAATTAAAAAGCACAGGAAATAAAAATATACAGTGTGAAATCTAAAACCTAAAATATTACAAGCGTACATCTAGGTTACGTATACAATGTTTTGCTTCCTTTATTGCAGCTGGGAAAATGGCTTCAGTTTTTTTAAAAAAAATTAATTTGAGTAATTTTCCTATCATCTCCAGTTGAAACTTTGATTTTGAAGTAATGCAATTAACAAACAGTAGTAAAGAGGCCCCTATGAATCACAATGAAAGGATAAAAATTCATCAGGAAAGATAAATAAAGTAAACTTGCTAATTAAATTGTTAGACCAAGGGCAGCTGGAAGGGAAAATAATTCACACGAAGGAGGTCAAAAGATAACAGTAGCCTTGCCACTAAATTTGATGCCTGATTGACTTATTTGAAATCAGCAGGAATCAAGTCTTGCTTTGAAAAACAATTGAAGCCATTTTCCGGAGGAAGAGGGGATGGGCCAGTTCCTCTTTCTCAGCGCAACCCACCTCACAAGGTTGTCGGGAAAATAGGAGCAGGAGAGATTATTATGTACAGTATTTGTTGCCTTGAGTTATTTCTAATAATAATGGAAAGATAAAACAACAACAACAATAATATTACTTAGAGAGTGGTGTAAAGCCTTATCGGGTGGTACATGTGTCTTAAGCGCTAGTGCTATTCATTAAAAATATCTCTCTGTGAATGAAACTGCCAGGGTTCTCTTTTCCCCCCCCCCACATAGGTTGTGACATTCTGGACAAGGATGCTTAATGGACCTTTACCAGCTGCCCTCCAAAACTCCGAGCACCCAACTCTCCAAACCAGCACCTGTGATGCCCTCTCTTCTATTTTGCCCGAAGCTTTTAGCCGTCTCCCCGTAAGTGCGTGGCTAGGACCTGCGTTTGTACTAGTTTTGCAAATGCAGGATTTGAAAGCCATGAATAAATGTTGTTTGGTTTTGCTGGCAGCCAGAGATGCTTTCCGAGACTGTGAAGGTGGCAAAATGGCATTCAGTCACTTCATGTTCCATCTGTTGAGAACTAGATTGTGGTTAGAATGCAGTACTGCAAGGCTAATTCTGCTGCCTGACAGC